CATTCCGTCACCATGGAGACGGGGTACAAACACGGCGCACAGTAAAATATGTATATACACACACATCTCATAAGCAGCACGATCAACAACGTCTCTAAAATTTCAGCCATTAACAAAGACTTAATACAAGACATTGAAAGACATTGTTCTGTATCACTATTGGTCAGAAAGTCACCTGTATTTAATTTGCCTAACTGAAACCCTTTGATGCTCACCTCAGAGTTCAGGGCCACCGTGATAGAGAGGGGGAGCTGCTGCTGTTCGGCTGTGCAGGAACCACTTCCTGTTGACCTGCAGACCACCGAGCCGCCACGCTGGAACACAGAAACCTGAGAGGAAAACACACGTTTCATATAGAATATGACATAGGAAGTAACCCTCGCTGTGTGAATTGAGACTTTAACACTAACTGTGTCCAGGGTGACGGGCAGACCCAGAGTCCGGCCTCCTTTATGCGCCTTTGCAGTGAGGACGTCGTACCAAACCTAAAACACAAGCAGCCCTTCATGTAACAGGCGCCATGAGGTGACTTGTGAGCCACTAGAAGACGTTTGTTACTGTAACGCATCACAAGAGACAGGAGTGAAACCCAAGCGCAGAGCGCAGCTTTATTGTGGAAGTACAGACAAGGGTTAGGCGTGGTCGAGTCCAGTAGGCGGGCAGAGGGTCGAAAGCCAGGAGAGCGGGGATAAACAGAGGCACCGTCAGGGGGTCAGGCGTGGTCGTATCCGGAGTACAGGCGGGTGGTCGAAAGCCGGGATTACGTGGAGTTAGACAGAAGTACCGTTGAGGATCAGGCAGGCAGGAACGAGGTCTGGGACAAACGAGAGGTCAATAACAGGCAAGAACAGGAGATCGGGAAAACGCTCGGAATGTGATGGAACATGCACAAGACTTCGCAAGGAGCTTTGGGGAGTCACAGGCTTAAGTACAGGGCTGGCTCTGATTAGTGACGAGCCCCAGGTGAGTCGGTGGGCTGATCCCAGATGGCACAAACCATTATGGCTCAAAACAGAGGGGTGACTGAGGTCCCGATCTTCGCACCTCAATATTCCGGGGACGGGGAGCGTCTGCCTGTGACAGAGCCCCCCCTTCTACAGGCGGCTCCGGAAGCCGAAGTTCGTCCTCTACGGGGGGGCCGACCCCGAGGCCGCGGGCCGGGACATTCGGGGTGGGCCTGATGGAAGTCCGTGATGAGGTCAGGGTGTATGTCCGCGGCTGGACGCCAGGCTCTCTCCTCAGGGCCATAACCCTCCCAGTCTACGA